GCTGCCCCACAGGGTTTCCTAGGCTGTCATCTATTGTGTCACTATATACTCATATATACTCTTATAGATCATCCACTCACAGCGCCCCCTGGTGTAACAGAGGAGAGCTGCCCCACAGGGTTTCCTAGTCTGTCATCTACAGGGGAGCTCTTCACCATTGAACTGAGACTTAACCACTGCACCACCACGGCTCTTGTAACTCTTGAATAGGGCTTACCTTGGGCCAGACTCGGTTTTAAGTGCTCTCCATATATTAACTCAGCTACCTTAATCATGCCCATTCCTTAGATGAGGAAACTGAGGTCAAAGAGAGACCAGATAACGCACCAGTTTATTCAGCAGGGCAATAAGCCCCTCTCCTATCTTTTAAACGGTTAAAAAGGTTGTCAAGAGCACTGAATGGGGAGTCAAAGTATGTGTTGGAATTCCAAGTGTGGCCCAGTGAGGAATATGGGTTTTCTGGCTCTGAGCTGATTTTCTTGATGATGGTGCACACAGATGGAATGGAAGCCAGCTCTACAGGGGGCTTAGGTCAAATCCACAATTCAGGAACGTGAACTCAAGGCAAGGAGACAAGGAAATATCTCCTGGTTTCAGGATTCAGGGTCAGTTGGTGATAATAAAAACCACTATTTCATCTTTTCAAACGTTTCCTGAGTACATGCTACGCGGGACCACGCTAGTTTACTTCTGGGAATCTCCGACTTACGATGGTACTTGAGTTCACTGAACCATCTGGTTGTGTTCAGCACATCGGATCTTTTTTAGTAACAAGCAGTGCATACAATGTTGCATCATGTAATTTGCTAATGTTTACCAACAGATGCTGAATGTTAAGATTTATAAAGGCACTGATAATAAAAGACCATCATAATGAAAAAAATGAGTTGCTCACGTCAGAACCAACTGACAATAGAGCCGTCGGGACAGAACTCTGTTGTGAATTGGGGACTGCTATCATAATTTTCCATTGGGGAGTTTTGATCCAAAGCTTAATCCTGGAATACGCCTAACTATACTGCTGATTAATTAGCTGTATTGCTACATTGTAGTCAATGTCTTTATTAGATTTTACCCCAAATATTTTTTCATTTCCATGTGTACATTTTACAACATAATATAAAGAAAACTCTCACAGGTGGCTTTCCCTTTTGTTCCTAGGACGCTATGTTTGGATGTGCTGAGACACAAGGAAATTTGCCATTTGTCATCCAAGAAAGGTTCCTTTTGCATTAAGCAAGAGTGTTTCAGCCCCTAGCGAATTCAGATATCCTGCCTGAGAATTCTGTTTTGAGCAATAACCTGAATGAAGTACTTTGCCAAGTTAAGAGGATCCCTGGTGCCACTAAGGGTTAAGTATTGGGCCTCTTGTGGTAACAAGGTTGGTGGTTCAAATCCACTAGTTGCTTCCCTGGAGAAAGATTAGCCAGTCTGCTCTTTCATAGATTTACAGTCTCAGAAACCCTTTGTTGTTATTATTAAGTGTTGTCGAGTCATTTCTGACTTATAGTGACCCTGTATAGGATTTACAAGGAGTGGCTGGTGAGTTTGAACCACTGACCTTGTGGTTCAAACCAACCTTACGGCCCAGAGCTGTTTTCCACAGAAACCCTATGGTTATGAATTGGGCTACGAACATCACGGTCAGCAGTTTGAAACTACCAGCTGTTCTGCAGGAGAAAGATGAAGTTTTCTGCTCCTGTAAAGATTTATAGCCTTGGAAACCCTGTACAGGGTCGCTATGAGTTGGAACTGACTCCACAGCATATCACAACAACAACAAACCCTATGCAGGAGTCCTGGTGTGGCGCTGTGGGTTAATGTACCAGACTGCAAACCATTTGAACTGCAAGGTCGGCGGTTCAAGCTCCCCAGAAACCCTATACCGGGTCGCTATGGGTCGCAAGCAACTTGACGGCACTTAACAACAACAACAAACCTATGCAGGGTCACTATGAGTCAAAACCGACAACACTGCACACCTACTACAATTCGACATCAAGAATGGATATTGGATTTTGTTAAATGCCTTTTCTGTATCAATCGATATGCTCTGTTCGTGTGTTTTTTTCTTTTTCCTTGTTTATATGGTGGATAACGTTGATCGTTTTTCTAATGTTGAACCATCCTTGCATCCCTAATATGAATTCCACTTGGTCATGATGTATTATTTTTTGATGTGTTGTTGGATTCTGCTGGCTAAGATTTTGTTGAGAATTTTTGCATCTATGTTCATGAGGGATATTGGTCTGTAATTTTCTTTCTTAGTGACCCTGGTTTTGGTATGAGGGTGATGCTTGCTTCATAAAATGTATTAGGAAGTTTTCCATCCTCTTCTATTTTCTGGAATACTTTGAGTAGAATTGGTGACAGCTCTTCCCTGAATGTTTGGTAAAACTCATCAGTGAAGCCATCTGGACCTGGACTTTCTTTGGTTGGGAGTTTTCTGATGACCTGGTCAATTTCTTCTTTTGTTATGGGTCAGTCTGATGGTAGTGGTCTTATACCAAGCTCTTAATCTGTATACAGCAGCAGAACTGCCCCTCACACTGGCAGAGGCTGGGATTTGTGCGAGAGATGAAAACTGTCCTGATTTTAGTTCTTACATTGTTCACACAGATGAAAGCTTCAGACATGACCATTTTAGTCCTGGTGTGGCATTGTGGGCTAATGTGCTGGACTGCCAGGTCAGTTAGAACCACAAAGTCAGTGATTCAAGCTCACCAGTCACTCTTCAGAAACCCTACACAGGGTCACTATGGGTCAGAAACAACTCAATGGCACTTAACAACCACCACCACCACCACAACACCACCTAACTGGGTAAAAATTTTAGGGCACATCCCTTATCCTCATAGGAAGCTGCAGACAGGTGTACTACTGGACAACACAAATATCTGGAGGCCAGATCTTCCTGAGAGAGAAAATGATGAAATATCCATTGTGCACTGACTGCAAAACACAGTTCAAACCCACCAGCTGCTCCCCAGGAACCCTATACGGGGTCACTCTGAATATGAGCGTACTGGATGGCACTCAGCTACAATAACAATGAGGCGGTAGTCACATGCTGCCATGTCCCATGGAGTTCGTTCTGACTCAGTGACCTTGTACAGCGTTTCCAAGGCTGTGATCATTATAGGAGGGGTCCTGGGGTAGCGCTGTGGGCCAATGCAGAGGTCGGTGGCTCAAGGTCATCAGCTGCTCCTTGGAAACCCTATACAGGGTCTCTTTGGGTCGCAATCGACAACAATCATTATCAAAGCAGACACCCTCTTCTTTCTCCAAGTAGATCGGCTGGTGGTTTGAACTGCTGACGTTGTGGGTATAACAGTCTAGCACTTCGCCTACAGAACCATACCAGAGTTCTAGTTTAGAGTTCCGCAGCACACATGTTCTGGGACTGACATTGTTCACTTTACCTTTGTTAATGTCACCGTGATGTTGGGCGACGTGACCCGGCAGGGTATGACCATCTCCTGGCCTTCTGTCATATACACGATTTCAGGGATATCAGAGTGCATCTGTATGAAAGGCCGGCCTGGGTCTGAACAGGGAGAAAAGGAGAAGAAAAAAATACGTAAATGAGTGAAATCTAGGAGCCCTGGTGGCACAGTGGTAAAGCATTCTACTATTAACAGAAAGGTCAGTGGTTCAAACCCACCCTTCAGCTCCATGGGAGAAAGATCTGGTAATCTGTTTCCGTAAAAGTGACAGCCTCGGACATCCTTGGGGGGAGTTCTACTGTCACATGGGGGCGCTGTGAGTCAGAGGTGAGTGGATGGTGCCAACAACAAACCTTGTGTCTGGTGAGGTAATATGGGCACTGGGGTGGTGCTGTAGGATAAGCAGAAGACTGCTAACAGCAAGGTTGGTGGTTTAAACACAACAGCCCCTCCCTAGAAACCCTATATAAGCTCACTCTGAGTTGGAACCGACGTGATGACACATAACAGCAACAGTAGCAGCAACTTCATCCTCCCCGTGTGTCATTTGTAAATTCACAGTCTGCCTCTCTGAATTTAGACCAAGGCAGTTTTTGCCCAGAAAGAGAAAACTCCTCCCGGAAAGCCTAATCTCTTACTGGGTTCTTAGTATTAGAAACAGACTGCTGGGGTGCCCCAGTAGGCAATTGTAACTGTGTGGGGGGAAGCCATAAAGGTGCAGGAGAGAAAAGGAAGGAAGGGAGACTGTTCTGCATAAAACTCTTGCCACAGCTATGCTAAGTACGCCCCTCCCCCCCAAGCGCCCTCTGGAGTCATTGTAAAAAGTCAGAGGGGGTAGGCGCAATAGCGAAAGCCAACTCCCCTGGGAGCACAAAGATGCTGGCTACCGGAGGGCAGGTGTAGCAGCTTGGAGGAATGATTACCATTTGAATTATAGAAGCTTGACTTTAAGGCTTTCTAGACTTTTCCTGGGAGTTGGGGTTGGGCAGGGGCGGGCTACAGAAAAGGACTGAAGACTGTCAGTATTTCAAATGCATATTAAGTCTGTTTCTTTGGTATGCGCCAATGTAGACTATTGAAAGTACCAGAAGAATGAACCTGTGTTGGAAGAAATACAGTAGCCAGAAATAATACTCATTAGGAGACAGGTTGGTGAGGCTTGGTTTCTCATATTTTAGACACGTTATCAGAAAGGACCAAGTCCCTGGAGAAGGAGGGTAGGAGAAAAAGAGGAAGACCCCCAAGAAGAAGGATTGGCACAGTGGCGGAAAACATGGGTTCATACTGAGAGTAGGGAAGGACAGGGTCATCTGGTTATCTTGTAAACGGGTCAATATGAGTGGGAGCCCACTCCAAGGCATCTAACGATGATAACAGTTTATTAGAAGACAAGTTTATGCAAGGTGTGCAAAGAAGCCTGGGAGAGACCTTAGAACCTAGGACCTTCGTTGCTGAAGATCTGGCTTCCAGCGGTGGAGGACAGACCCACAGATGTGAGTGATGGTCTCAGATAGACACCATCCACTGTGGCTCTTACCCCTGCTCCCTCTGCGCATGCTGTCTCTTCCTACCTTCCCCCATCCCAGCCCCACCTGACAGACTCTCCCAAGGTCCCCAGCATTCTTCCATGACAACACTGAATGGTCCTGGACTGCTTACTACGTGGTGGATTCCCAGAGAGGAAGTGTCTGGTAACACACAGGGAAGGAGGAAGGGATGAGTAACTAGCCAGGCAACCCTGCCATTTTGCAGACAAGAGTGAAAGAATCTAAACTTCTGATTCCAGTTGCCTAAATTCCCACAACCAGATGTGAGGAGAGCAAACTTGGAGACGGACCATTTGGACCTCCAATCCAGGCACTTCCCTTGGACCATACTCAAGGCTTCTTTCTCTCTGATTAAGAAGGGCTGAGGGTGGCAACTGTATTTCAGACATCAAAGGCTTACTTCCCCCAACTTCAATGGGGAAAGTTCAGTGACATGTCAGAGAAATTCTGGAAATCGCCAAAGGACAGTGACCAGAATGCTTAGGGTTGTCATGAGGTTAGGAGTTCGAGGACACCCATCATGGTGGGCTACAGCTCACAGGGCACATCCGGTGAGCCTTCTGGGGTTCACTTGATGGGTGACCTTGGACATAAAGTCTCATCCATAAAGTCTACCTCAAAGAGTGGCAGTAAACCATTAACCAAACCCGTTCTCAATTCGACTCTGAATGTAGTGACCCAACAGTACAAGGTTGTTATGGGGTGGAACCGACTCTACAGCACGTAACAACAACACCACTTTACTGAAGCAGATGACCTCATCTTTCTCCCACGGAGCAGCTGGTGCATTCGAACCTTTGCTGATCTTTTTGTTAGCAGCCCAGAGCTTGATCATTGCAACACCAGGCCTCCTTAACCTGACCAAAATGGAGTCATTTGTGCTGAGCCAACCCCGCCTCAGAAAACTGAAACCGCAAGTGCCTGTCTTGTAAAGATCTACCTTCTGCAGAGCCGAAATCCAAATCAATCAACGGACCTTCCAGGAAATCTAAACGAGTCCATAAGGACTTGTGGGGTTGGTTTAACCTAGTTCAAAATTTCGCTTTAATCCCAAATAAGGAAGAACACGCCCCTCAGCCTATCCAAAATATGCTCCTGTGAATCGGAGCTGACAAAAAAACCCTTCTGCTTCTGAGGTCCAATCTGACATTCCAATCAGACAGCCTCCCAATTCATGAATCGCAAAAAATAAAGCATGTGAGTTCTTACTCAAATTTCATTGTGAAAAATTAACAGTTATTATGAAGACTGTATGAATTAAGACATGAGTTCAGTATTCATTTTTCTCTTTCTTTTTATTATGAGAGACATGAACTTATGGAGACAGGCACATGGAAATTTTTACATTATATTTATGATCTTAACCCTATAAAAGTATAACTATATAATCATATAATGGAGTCCTGGTGGGGTGTTACAGGATAATGCACTGGACTGAAAGGTAGGTGTGAGCCTCAAGGTCAGCAGTTCAAACCCATCAGCTGCTCCTTGGAAACCCTACACAGGGAGTTGGAACAGACTTGAAGGCACTTAAAGTAACAAACAGCATAGAAAAAATGTGTACCAGAAACTAGTATATAATATAAAGTCACTCCTAACTGAAATGGAAGAAATTAATTTAATATACCTTTGAGTCTCTTTTTTTCCCTTTGTCATTGTCACACGTAGCAAGGTGCCCTGATAGCACATTGGCTAAGTGCTCAGATGTTGATTGAAAGGTCAGTGGTTCAAACCCACCCAGTGGATCTGAGGGAGAAAGAGCTGGCAGTGTTCTCCTATAAAGATGACAGCCTAGGGAAATCTGTGGGACATTTCTCCTCTGTCACACGGAATCACTGTACCCAACAGCCATGACAACGTTGACAATGACAGTGACTTTGTGAGTCTTTATTTACCCTCTCTCCGCATTTGTCTAGAACAATTTTATTTTATTTTAGAAATTTTTAAAAATTATTGAAATTGAAACCAAAATGATGAGACAGGATTTTTCCTTGGGGAAAATGATACCTCTTGCATTTGATTTACTTTAGTTTTACCCTATGTAGTACAATGAGACAAAATCTGCCACATTTAATGAAACTATGTGCTTATTAGGAAAGCTCAGTGGGGTGCAGAGAAGAAAAGTTAATTATATCAAGTCGAAGGCTTCGCTTATCAGCGCTCAATTCTTCCTGTACATAGAGTTGCTGAGCTAGGCATTTAGGCAAGGACTACTGGGATTTCATCATTTCTTTCCTTCCTCCTGAGAGTCTATATTTTTGTCTCCTTTGTAAGTCCCAAGCTAAGTACAAACACCAGGAAACAGTCTAATTCATTGAAATGACCTATAAATCCTTCATATTTCATTTTCTGTCACCTTAAGCAACTGATTTCAGCAAAAGACACTGGTGTAAAAAGTTCCTCCAGGAAACAGTAAGCATGAGCTAGTTATTCCTACGTTCATGAACACCAGCCCCAAACATAATGGAAGAGATTTGTTGGTCCCGTATGCCTTTGAACTTCGTCTTTTCCTCTACCATTTCATGAATTTCCCAAATGCTTCCAATGGGTTCATAACTACTTTCTTACCCTCTGAAATCCAATACTAATTTCAGCTTTAGGTCGACTGCAGTTTGTACAAAGATGGCAGAACCTCCATGACTTATGTGCATTCCAACACACTTCAAAACACCTCTTGTGGGTCGTGGTTAATGGTGGCGTTATGAATCCAATGTGCTTGCATATGAGCTCCTGACCAAAGACACACGCACACACAATACTCTCTGGGCTTTATTAATAGTACACTTCCTCTCTGATTTGATCCAAGGAAGGGCTAAGAATGAACTTGCCTGCCACAGAATAATAGAAACATTTTTTTTGTTTTGTTTTGAAGGACCAGCGATCCTGAAGAGGCCACCAGTAAAACCACTTACGACTCCCATAGGATACATTTGTCTTTGTCACAAAATTTAAAATGACTTCCAAGACCCAGCCAGCACTTCAGAGTGGTTTCCTTGAGACCAAATTGACTGGTTGTTAAAAGAGCAAGGAAGAGCTGCTCCAAAAGTCCCCGGTGTACTGATGGCCCAGACACACTGTCACCAGCTAGGACAGAGGTCACGCCACCCTCACCTCTCTGAACTCCCAGAACTCACAACAGAGGCAGGAAACTGGCACCTAATGTGAGCCTTTGTCACCCAACGGCAGTGCCCAGACAATCACTTAGTCTTTGGGACAACAAGCAAACTCCAGCACAGGGAAAGATCAAATGGGAGTCCTTCTCAGAATGAAATCCCATCTTTTTGTTTTTGAAATGTGGTTTTTTGTTTTTCCTTTTGGAATCTATAATCATGTGTGTCACCTTAAAGCACGCAGGCATTGCGGCTCAAAGTGTCACAACCAGAGAGTACTGTGTGTGTGTCTATGGTCATGAGCTCATTTGCACACACAGTGGATTTATAACGCTGTTATTCACCGTGACACACATGAGGGGTTTTGAATTGTGTTGGAATGGGCATTCCATTTCATTTCTCATTAACATTAACTGAAGCTTCCTCTACAGGGCTCCTGGCAAA